CAAGGATTACGTCACCCGGTTGAAAACTAAGTTCATCATCTGCAACACAATTCATGCTGTCTGGATAGATGAAGTCGCCGCCACCACTGCTACACTTGCAAAATTCCAGAAAAGTCAATAACGCATACGATAAAATGACAATTAGCTGATGACTTCGTACTGCCAGTAACGATACCTGACCGAGCGTTGAACTCATACAGAGCACGATACTTCACGGCACCTGTAGTTCCATTGCCGCTTGGTAGCGCATTACTTGTTGCAGAAAACTGCTGTTGCACCGCTCCATTTGTTGTCCCTCCTGCAATGCAGCTGCGCTTATAACTGTGCCGGTTTTTCACATTTCACAAGCTCAAACCTTCAGTTACGCTGCAACGCACAAATATGACACGACAGGTCAGGCAGCGTGTAATTCAAAATCGTCGTTGATGTAAATCAGGCATGAGCAACCTGTGGCGACACGCAGGCCTGACTTGCATACTTAAGCTCGCCGGCCACCTTTTAATAAAACCCAGGCAGCAACGCACCACGCTTGCCCGTAAGACTGTGAGTTTTTGCGCTAAATTTGACGCAGTCAGATCGTTAACAGTATAAACGATTGTTGCTTCACAGTTTAACACGTGCAACTCATGCCTGTGTTTTGGTCTCTTCTTGCATACGAAGGAAAGCGCGTCGGCTGGGATGGTGGTGATGCATCATGGCTGTTCCCGCTGCTGAGTTGAAAGTAGATGGCAAAGTTCACTCGCCTCTGAACGCACACACACAAAGACATGCTCTCGACATCACGCGTTTTTGCGTTCCCATAAGACGTAAAAACACAGATATGAACACAGATAAATAAGCATTACTTCTCATTACTTTTTGCTTCACAGCTCACTTACAATTTTCTTGTAGCTTTAATTTCGTAAATCACATTTCCAGCTACATTAATTTGTTACCAACTATTATTCTTTAATTTTTATTTTTCTCTAAAACTCATGTTATTTCCTGATCACTTCACGTTTATACTTTACCTTTTCAACGTCTGTTATACTAACAATAGTCTTTCCATGTTTGCCATATTTTTATTTATTATTAATTTTCTTTTTTACTTCATATTTTCTCTTTCTTATCTCTTTCAACTACTTACATTACTTTTACCCTTAATTAAATTAATACTTTAGGATCTATTGCCTTTATTTCTTTAAATCTTTACTATCTCCATTTTTTACCTAGTAATCATTTTTTTCTCTTAACATTCCACAATTTTACTTTTTTCTAGAATTTAGTCATTTCTTTTTATAACACACTTTTACTTCTTATAATTTATTAAATTTCATTTTTGAATTTCACTGCTGTTTACCCATTCTAACGTTCTAACTAATTTACCTATATTATCATCGTTCTCGTTCATCATTTCTCTTCTTTCATTAAAAAATTTTTCTAACTTTCTCTACCTTTCCCAATTATTACAGTCTGTGTTAGAGCCGACATATACTTTCTATGTCACCGCACACTTAGTGTGCGGCAAGTTTAAACACGGACTGTACTTCCTAAAAGCCTTTCCATGTATATTTATCTTTTATATCTCAATTAAAAAATATATACTAGTAATTTACATACTCACAATTACATCTTATATATTCAGATAGTGCCGTTCTCTGTACTAATGTTTAATTACAACTAGTCCA